AATTTTTTTCTTAAAAACTTGAATAAAATTCTTTGAAAAAATTCAATTATTTAAAAAACTTTGATATAATTTGTTTCTTAAAGTGTAAGAATTATTTTCAATTTATATTTTTAATTACATTTCTTGAATGAATTTAATTATTATCGAAAAATTTTAACGCAATCATCGTAAAAATGCAATTATTTAAAAAAATGTTGATAAACTTCTTTATAAGAATTGAAATTTAAAAAATATTCAATTATTCAATAAATTATTTATTTTTGTACTTAAATAATTAAATTCTCGTAAAAGTTTCTAATAAGAATTAAATAAAATAAAATGATTAAAGTTTTGAAAACTTTTATTTATAAATTTCAAGATAAAAATGATTGAATTTTGAAAGAATTATTTTTTTTATTTTTTTTTATTTTTTTTATTTTTATTTATTTTTTTTTTATTTTTTTTTTTTTAGAAATTGTAAAATTATTTTATTTTTGAATGTAATTAATAAATTAAAAAAAAATTGAGTCGTCAACTTTAATTTTTCGATAGTTACTTTCTTTTCTGTCTTTAAGCTACTTTTTTAAAATTAACAAAATTTAAAAAAAAAACAGTAACAATAATTGTTTATCATTGTCTATTTGAAAAATTTTAATAGAAATGAAAAAGTCTTTTTTCAAATATGTGTGCGAAAGTTATAAAAAAAACGAGTGAAACTGCTTCTGAGAAAATGAAAAGACTCTAAACAATTAAACGTTTCATTTTCAGTTCCTTTAGGAGACGTTTATTTTCGTTTACTTTCTTTGCAGAAAATTCCACTGTTTTATATATATAAAAAGAGAGAAATTATGAACAATTAAATAAAGAATATAATATAATTATAATATAGTGTAAAAAAAAGAATAATATACAAAAATATGATAATATAACAAAGATATAAATTTTTTTTGAAAATTATACAAAAAACCAAAGGAAAAAGTAATAAAAAACTTTTATTTTTATAATTTGGTTTAGAATCCATTTATCCATCCTACTTGTGAGAAATTATAAGTGGATTAAAAATGATCAATTTAGAAAGTTAAGATTACATGTTGAACATTATTTTATTCATGAAAAATTTGTCTTCAATGTTTTGAACTATATAATTTGTAAATATTTTACTATGTCGCTAATAATGATTACATCATAGCAGAGCTCTCTTGTTAGAGAACTTAAACTTTTCAGATAACGTTTTATTGTAACGAGGTATATATCTTTTAACGATAAAGTAACATCAATGAAGAAAGATTAAGATCTTTGGTATCCTTCGACGTCTTAAAGACAGCGGCATTAGACTTGCTTGCATATATGTAAAAGTTGTGTTAATTTATTCAAAGGGAAAAAAGAAAAATTACTTTATCGATTTTCGATACACTGAGAGACATGGAACTTTCGGTTTATTATCCACTTTGGTTAAATTTCCCTTTTGATGAAAATTGGGAGTTGAGAAGTTTTAGTGTTTAGGCTAGTATTTTAGTACTTTTAGTATTTAGATTGTATTGTTATTTAGTATTTTTACTTTTTTAGTATTTAGATTGTATTGTTATGATTCTAGAGATTAGGAATTTTTTGAAAATTTTAAAAATTTATTTCTGTTTAGTCACAGAAAAGGGACTTGTCCCATGTTTCATCTAAAATTTATAAATTTTTTTAATTAAGTCTTCTTTCTTAAAAGTTAAATCTTTTTTTTTTGTTTAAAAAAACCCTTTTTAATGTTCAGGGCTCGGATTGTGCAACTTTTTCGACTTTTTTCGACTTTTCTAAGGAAATGTGACTTTTTTCGACTTTTTTGTGAAAAAATGCGACTAATCGACTTTTTTGACATTTTTTTTTAGTAAAATGCGAATGATATTTAAAATTTTCATTTAAACTTAAAGGAAAAAGTTTGAGTCAAAAAATTGTTCTACTGTTACATTTATTTACAAATTTCTTTCAAATTTTTCGAAAACATCAATAACTTTTTTTAAATAAATATTTAATTATAATTTTTCCAAAGGAATTAAAATTCTTCAAAAGATTCAAATTCACAACTTTTTGAAATTAAACAACTTATAAAAAATTGTTATAAAACATGAAGACATCGATCACTCCGAGTCTTCGACTCGGAGCAATCGATGTCTTCATGTTTTATAATAATTAAAGATAACCGATTGATAAAATCATTAATTATTATTATAAGACTTTATAAAAAAAAAATTTGAATTATTTTTTATGCAAATAATTGAATATTGGGAAGAAATTTATAAAACATTAGTAAGTAATTTTATTTTGTAGAAGAATGTTGATATTTAGAAAGATAATTGAAATTTAAAGGAGAATTTAAAAACAAAATTTGAAAATAATTGAATTTCTAGGATGAATTTTTATTAATTTTGACAAATAATTGAATTTCTGCGAAAAAATTTTATTAAAATTCCTTAAAATAATTAAACTTCCGCGAAGAAAATTTCGTTAATTATAAAAATAATTGAAATCTTGTAGAGAATTGATTTAAAATTTTTGAAACTAATTAAATTTTTTCAATTAAATTTAATTAAAATTTTGTATTGATAATAATTCAATTCTTATCATTAATTTAATCAAAATTTTTCAAAATAATTGAATTTCTTGAGAAGAATTTTAGTAATGATTGAAAATAATTGAATTCTTACGATAAATTTGATGAATTTTTTGAAAATAATTGATGTCATGCGAAGAGTTCAATTATTTTTTGAAAATAATTAAATTCCTTTGAAGAATTTTATTATTATATATAAAAAAAAAAATTACTGCCAAGAATTTTAAAGTTTTTTTAAAAAATAATTGAATTCTATTGTAAAGAATTTTATTAATTTTATAAAATAATTGAATTCTTGTGAATAATTTTATTAATTTTGTCAGATAATTGAATTTCTGCGTAAAATTTTATTAAACGTTTTGAAAATAATTGAATTCATAAGAAGAATTTTATTTCAAATTCGTGAAAATAATTGAATTTTTGCGAAGAATTTTAATACTTTTGAAAATAATTGAATTTCTAGGATGAATTTTATTATTTTTAAAGATAATTGAAATTTTGACAAGAATTTTATTAAAATTCTTTGTAAATAATTGAATTTCAGAGAAGAATTTTATTATTCACAAAGATAATTGAAATTTTGAACAGATTTTTTTTTTAAATGTTTAAAAGTAATTGAATTTTGCAGAAGAATTTTTGATATTTATAAACATAATTGAAATTTTGAGGAGAATTTAAAAAAAAAATTTTGAAAATAATTGAATTTCTGTAAAGAATTTTCTTATTTTTGAAGATAATTGAATTTTGCGAAGAATTTTATCAGAACTTTTGAAAACAAATTAAATTTTTATGATGAACTTTATTATTTATAAAATTTTGAGGGAAAATTTTAAAAAGTTTTTGAATATTATAATTGAATTTTTGCGAAGAATTTTAATAATTTGGAAAATAATTGAAATTCAAAGAAGAATTTTATTATTTATAAAGATAATTGAAATTTTGACAAGAGTTTTATTAAATTTTTTTTTTAAATATAATTGAATTTCGGAGAAGAATTTCATTATCTATAAAAATAATTGATATTTTAAAGAGAATTTTAAAAAAATGTTAAAATTAACTAATTAAAATTTTGCTATGAATTTTATTTAATTTTTTTAAATTTTATATCAGATTGTTTGATATTAATGTATCTGTTGTTGAGAAATGTGATTTTTTTTTACAATTTTGACAATTTTGTATTTCCTTTTTGTCGTTTTTTCTAAAATTTCATGCGACTTTTTTCCGACTTTTTTTGGAAATTTTATGCGACTTTTTGTGATTTTTGTTGTAAATTTATGCGACTAAAGCGACTTTTTTTGAGTCTTAAAGACGATCCGAGCCCTGAATGTTTAAAATTTTCTTTTTGCTATAATATTAAAGGAAAAAAATAACTGTGATCCCTGCCAACAATGAACTTGCCCTGATTCGCATTGACTTTCAAACCTTGCGTTTGACTTTTTCTTTTAAATGTAAAAGTCATAAAATCGTTTACGATACTGTAAAAGAATTTGCTAGGAGGTTCAATGATATTCGAAGAAATGAGAGAAGAAACATTGTGGTACGAGAAAATATAGCGAGTAAATTACTGTTCCCTGTGTACACATACGGCTCAGCTCTCATTTACGAGCGGAAACATTATTAACACGCAGGCTTCATCTCTTTTTTTATATATATATATATATATATATATACACCTCCCTCCATCTCTATCTTTTTAAAACTTCCAAGTTGTTCGCTTGAGGTCTACAAGACTTCTATCCTTATCGGACGTATCTCCCTCTTGCTCCTTCTTCCTTTGCGTACTCCTTTTTTCAGAAATCCATTGTCTTGGTCGCCATAGTTTCTCAGGGACTCGTGAGCTCGTGGGAAGGTTCACAGGAGTTTGAAATGTAAACTCGGTCTTCGCCTTCAGCCTAGCCAACAGCGACAACCAAGTCTGCCGTTTAGCTAACCCACCACCAATGTTTAGTTGCATCTAATACTCTGATTAGTTTACGCATCAAGTCTCTTTTATTAACGCTATCACAATTGCCTCGTAACTTTTGACTTTTATTTCTTCATTACAAATACAAGTTAATCCAAAAACTCTTGTTGCTCTTTTTAATTTCCATTTTCAAGGAAGTACCTTTTTTGAACTTACAACACAATTTTTAAATCTCTTCAAAAATCAGAAGAAAAAAATAAAATTGTTCCGTTTTGTTGAAAGGATTGACAGCTAGAGATCGTGTCTAAAATGGGTTAAAGATACGGGTTGGAGGACATTTATGAACAGTAAATTCTCGATTTATACCGCAGAGCAACGGGAGTTTCTTGGATAACGTCGAGAGGCAGTATCTTGTAAATATTTAAAAGCAGGATCTTAACTTATGTACTTCTTATAAGGCTTGCACGAGTCAATATAGCAAACGAGCTTGTGTGAACTTGGCCGTTCTTCTTTCTGTTTCAGCCGAAAGAACTCAATCGTTCTCAGGACCCAGCTATCCGTACGAGTTCACACCATCATAGGTGAGTATTCTATATTTATGCTTTTTTACCCCAGTGACCCTTTTTCCTTCAAATGTAGTCTGAGAAGATACACACGTTATTTATAATACAAGTATTTATTCGCCTATTGATATGATACACCGCAAAAACTCGCCTCATTAAAAAAAGTGATAATGAAACGAAACATTTTTTCCTAGCTCATATGCTTCAAAGAAATTTACAAGAACCTAAAGATACTTGTAAATTTTTTTGAATCCACTGAAAGACTTTGTGTTTTAAAATATGTTCCTATTTCGCGTCAACCCAGGAGATTGAACATCAGACGCGCTTTTGTATGGTTAAAGAGCAACTGAAAAGCACTGAAAAGCGATGACCTAAAACCAAAGCATACTTTAATTAGAACACATAATATAATAAAAATAATAAAAAAAAATAAATAAAATTTACCTTGGAGAAAAAATTGGAATTTGCGGATGTTGATCTGAAAGTAACTTGGAATTTTCATTAAAAGCAGGCTTCGGATTAACTTTCAAGGAGCAAAAAATGTGTTCGTTAAATTTAATTCATTTTAATTTCTTTTCATAGATAAAAGAAGTTACAATATTTTTCGCAAAAAAAATTTTTATTTAAAAACGTTCCTTCTGCAAATTTAGGTATAAAAAACGCGAAATTTGAAAGTAATATGACATTTAACTAAATTAACGGTTGCATAAAATTTCCCAAAGTTTTAAACGATCGAATAACGATTAGACAGAATCTACAAATATTGAATAATTATACGATGAACTTCTAAAACATCGAATTAATATTTGTTCGAATTTTCAAAACATTTAATTAATTTCCTGGAAATTTAGTCATTTTTCGAACACTTAAGGGCAAAAATAAAATTTTTTAATTATTATTTTGCTATATTTTGCGGGTGATAAAAAAGACAAAAGAGATGACGTAGAAGGGGTGATGACGTAATATTTTTTTGAAATTTACTCCGTAAATTTCTCTCTCACACTTTTGGAGAAAATAAAAATTTTCAAAAATATTACGAAAATTATTTCTAGTTTTTGCAGGAAATAAACGGGAACTCTTTTTTTCTTTTTTTATAGCAAAATATTATTTTATTTACTCTCTAAAATATTAGAAGTCTATTTTTTTATCATAATCATAATTATCCCACGTAAAAAAATTAGACCGAGAAATTCCCGGGAGCGAAAAAAAATAATTTTTTTTCTATTTATTTGTTTTTTTTTTACTTCCGGAAAATTACCGGAAGATTCCCGAAAAATTTCTGGAAATTTCCATATAATTAAATTTATTTTACATAAATATAGATATTTTTTAATGAAAATCATATTTTTTCTTTCTTTTAATTGCAATTTATGTATTATTAATTAATACAATGATAAAAGTTGGAGTAACAATCATTTTAAAATATCTTTTGTTATAGTAAAATATGCTGCAAATTTTTTTTACATCTTTATTACTTAAATTTGTTATTTTATTAGTTGATTTAACTAGTTTTGAATATAAATTAAATTAAATTAATTAATTTTTAAATTAAATTTTCTTGAAAAAATAGAATGCCAAAAAAGAAAGTATATTTTAATTTCAACATTTTTAATTATATACAAAATCATAAAGTAATATATGTTTCATGAACATTTTTAATTCTCTAGACAGTAGTAAAAGTGAGTATTAGCCAGACAAATTTAGTAGTCAAATAATGTGTTAATTAGAACTGTGCAAAATTCGATAATTCGAAAAAATAGAGTTTGGTTCGAATTATTTTGCACAGCACTATTGAAAATCATTGAATTGAGGAAATTTTTTGGAAATAATTGAAATTTGCACAAGAACGTTTGAAAATAATTGAATTTTGAAGAAGAATTTTATTATTTATAAAGATAATTGAAGTTCTGGAAAATTCTTATGGGAAATTTTAATAAAATAGTAGACATTGAAAATCATTGAATTGTTGAAAATTTTTGAGAATAATTAAAATTTTGACAAGAATTTTATTCGAATTATTAAAAATAATTGAATTTTAGAAAAGAATATTTTTATTCATAAAGGTAATTGAAATATTGACAAGAATTTTTTTAAATTTAAAATATAATTGAATTTCTGAACAGAATTTTATTATTTATGAAAATAATTGAATTATTGCGAAGAAATTTATAAAAAATTATAAATTTCTATGAAATTTTTATTATTTTATAGAAATAAGTAAATGTTTTCTTAGAATTTTATTAAATTTTTTGAAAATAGTTGAATTCAGAGAAAAAATATTTATAAAGATGATTGGAATTTTGACGAGAATTTTTTTTTAATTCTATACATAGATTGAATTTTTGCAATCAATTTTATTACATTAGAAAATAATTGAATTTCTCTAATTTTAATTGAAATTCATTTTAAAATCAATTTTTAATAGAAAATTCTATGAGAATTCAATTATTTAAATACAAAATTGAATAATTTTTTTTTTAATTCTATACATAATTGAATTTTTTTGCAATTAATTTTATTACATTAAAAAATAATTTAATATCTCTAATTTTAACTGAAATTCATTTTTAAATCAATTTTTAATAGAAAATTCTACGAGAATTCAATTATTTGAATACAAAATTGAATAATTTATTGAATTATTAAATGTTTCTTAAAATTGAATACTCATAAAGAATTTTATGAATAAATTTTTAAATAATTGAATCCTTAAAAAGAATTAAAAATTTTTTGAACATATTTGAATTTCTGCGAAAAATTCTATTACGTTTGAAAATAATTGAAATTTTGCCAAGATTTTTATTAAAATTATGGAGAATAATTGAATTTCGGTGAAGAATTTTATTATTTATAAAGATAATTGAAGTTCTAAAAAATTCTTATAGAAAATTTTATTAAAATAGAAGATATTGAAAATCATTGAATTGAGGAAAATTTTTGAAAATAATTGAATTTCTGAAATAAATTTGTAATTTCTCCAAAATTCAATTTTTTTAAATGTTTTTTACTAAAATTCTTTTATAAATCTATTATTTTTAATAATTTTGGAAATAGTTTTTTGAGACTTTTCAAATTCATTTGTTTATAAATTATAATTCAATTATTCGGAAATTCTTCAAGTACACTAAGAAAAATGGATATTAAGCTTTATTATCTAGATATTAATGGTCGATATCTGTGACAGTGAAATATGTAACATCTTAGATTTTCAAATTTAATATCTAAGATATTGGAAAAAGACTTGTTCAAACATAACCTCACATTTACAGATTATACTTTTTAACATCTGAGATATTAAACCATAACATCTGGATGATATGCATTAGCATCTTTTCTTTAATATCTAGTATATTAAGATTTTTAATATCCAGTTCTCTCAGTGTAAATATATATTAGAAAATAAAAACTTCAAATAATTTTAAAAGGAAATCCGCAATTTTTTTAAAATAGTAGATATTGAAAATTATGAATTGAGAAAAATTTTTGAAAATAATTGAAAATTGGGCAAGAATTTTATTAAAATTTTTGAAAATAGTTGAATTTTTGCCGGGAATTACTACATACTACAAATATTTTACATATTTTGTATTTGCAGCAATGAAAAAATTAAATTTCTTGTAAGACGACTAAGAACTATCCTTAAACTTCTGCTTAAGGAAAATTGTCCCAAGACTGACGCGTCAACCTTTATGAAGCATCAGTCCCGGGTTGTCCTTAAAGTTCCTCAAAGTGGAATTAAGACCTGTCCCCCATTCCACTAGTTAAGTACACCTAACTGAAACCGGAAGTTGTTACTTCTGAGATGAAGCATTAAAGTAGCGCCAAATGGAGAAGATATATTATACAATGTTTCTGAGTTTATACTTCCGGTTATGTGCAACTAATCAAAATGAATATCCCAGTTGTCTTAATTGTTCCCTAAAATTCTAAAGTTTCTGCGTCACTAAAGCAACAAGTTTAATTTTGTAAATAATAATAATAATAATATTTATTCCGCTAATTGCCGAAGACAATATTATTATTGAAAATGCGTTGTCATTTCTTGTTGTTTGTTTGTCTGTTTTTGTTGCTACTACAGAGTTTACAACTCTATCCTCGTTTGCCTCTTGTTTACATGATTCGTGTTCGCCTCTGATGTAAACTCAATCGCTCGATTAACCTGCGGCAGGAGTTGCTCGAGTGTAACAGTGCGTGTAAAGCACCTCTCACAAGGGGAATGATACACAATGAAAATGAAATGAGAAACCAATTGTGTATTTCATTATATATATAAAACTTAGTGAATTTCAATTGTTTAAAGGAAATTTTGTGTCTTATAAAATTTGTAGATTTGAAGATTTTTTTCTGTTGTTGTTCAGTAGGATAGCAATGAGTAGCTGAGTCGTGTGTAACGGAATTATTAATTCTAAAATTTTATTAAAATTCGTCAAAAGAATTCAATTACAACAAAATTTATTGATGAAATTCTTTATGACAATTCAATTTAAAAAACATTCAATTATGCAATAAATTATTTAATCTTGTATTTAAATAATTGAATTCTCGTAGAATTTTCTATTAGAAATTGATTTAAAAATGAATTTTCTTTAAAATCTTAGATTATAATTGAATATTAAAAGCATTATTTTGATAAGGTATCAAATTAAAATCTTTGAAAATCTGAATCTGCAAACAAATGATTGCAGAAATTCAATTATTTTCCAAAATTCTAATAAAATTCTTGTGCAATTTTCAATTATTTTCAAAATTTTTTAAAAATTGTCGTCAAAACTTCAATTATTTTTTATAAATAATAATATTCTACTCCGAAATTCAATTATTTTTGAAAAATTTAATACAATTCTTGTCAAAACTTCAATTATTTTCCAAAATTCTAATAAAATTCTTGTGCAATTTTCAATTATTTTCAAAAAATTTCCTCAATTCAATGATTTTCAATAGTGCTGTGCAAAATAATTCGAACCGAACTGTATTTTTTCGAATTATCGAATTTTGCACAGTTCTAATTAACACATTAT